AAGCATCCATGAGGCTGCCGCATGAGAGAGAGGCGACGAGGGGGGACGCCGAGCGGGTGGTGAGGGCGGAGATGCGGAACAACCCCGAGTTGCGCCGGTGCCCCGGCGGTGTAGCGGATTCCATCGCCGCCGTAGCGCGGTCCAATCAAGAGCCTTGATGCTTTGCGCTCCGTAGCTACTGCCTGCCTCCCTGCGATCTCATTCGTTGCCCAGCGAAATAAGATCATCGTTCTCCACCGAATGGTTTCTCTTATTAGCTGCTGCGACCATTGAAATCGATCAACCAATCGTAAATCTTGGAAATTTCTTTTCCTTCTTGCCGATAATAGGACTCATTTATCCGTCGCTGAATGCCCATTATTTGTCCGCTGCAATAAAACTTTGGGGTTACTGAATCAAATATGGAGTTCATTGGGCAAGCACGGGCCTGAAGTCTCATGAGCTGCGTTAGGGCCTCTTCTCATCCAGATCACCCACTTGTCATCCTACTCGATGGCCAACATATGCAAGAACCAAACTTATGTCAACATGAGCCGAAGAGCAGAATATTCCTCGAAATATTTTGTATCTTTATAAATCTAATTTTAACCCTTATGAAAGATCTCGAATTGAATTGAGCATTAGACTGATAATGTCGAACGTGTGGGTGTCGATTGCATTTCTCCATGCAACCAATTGTTAGAATTCTTATGAGGGATAAGATCTATATATAGTTCATAACCTTAAGTTGTTTTAAATGCGCCGCATCTAGTTTGACTCTTTCGTAACTTAGTCAGGTAAGACTAATCTCATTCGTTAATATCTTTATTTTATACATATTTGTTTCCTTTTTAAGTTGCAAGCTACGTTAACTAATTCTTTCACCACTTAATGCTAATATAATACATTTCTCTTCTTTTAATTCAACTCAAATATATTTTTTTTAACATGGATATCATATTGGAAACTTGTAGTACCATTCAAATTATTTTATATAAAAAAGATATATAAAAAGAAGAAATATAAGGGGATATATCAAGATTATTATTTATCATTGTTGAGCGAAAATATCGTTGACGTCATTGTCAGTACGACGTTACTCTGATCCATATGCGTAAAGTCATTCAAAGTAGACAATATATTCTCCCTAAGTGTCACCTATACAAAATCGAAATCGAGAGAGGTTTCTCGAGTTTGTCTTTCCGATGTTTAAGTTAGTCTTGAGTTCAATTTCTCTATACCTAAATTCTTGATTTTAGTGCCCTTTATTTGAAGTTGAGAGTGTGTTTTTTATTTCTGATCTTGAAGAGATAGTATATTTCATAAACTTTGCGAGGAGACAGTTTGTAATCGACGTTAGTTGTTCCTTAGACTCCCGAGAATATTCTTATGAATATTTCAAAGATGAGACAATTTATAACCGATCCAAGCTATCCCTTATATTATTTCTAGGAATATTCCTATGAATATTTCAAATGGGAGACAATTGGTAACTAACACAAACTATTAGTTGGAATCCTATCTACGCGAGCAAGTAGGTATCCGGTTCTCTAGGTCTCTTTCTCCCATGTGCCTTACATGGTGCTTATGTAGCAAGTGACGATGGATTGGTTATATATTCCTTATCAATGATTATTGTTTTCTGATTGATAAAATATAAGTCATGTATATGCATTAACATAACTTATTTGGACACTTAATATAGTTAGTAAACTCAAAATCAATTTTTTATATAATATTCTTCTATATATGCGATCTATTATCAACATACTCGATCTATTATCAATTACCTATTAAAATATGTACTACGCATTCTGTTATATGCATATTTATATGAGATTGGTCAGTCATATTGAGGCCATAAATTTCTTGGACTTTGGGCATATTCAACTCGCTTGTTTAATCATTTGTACTTATAACTATATTAAATTGGTTGATCCGATTCAATTCCTCTTTTTTCATGTGTATTTATAACTATATTAAATTGGTTATAAATTTAATTCAACTCGAATTTTTTTTTTAACACGGATATCATATCGAAAACTTCACTAAAAGGTAGTACCTTTCAAATTATTTTATATAAAAAGAAACAATATAAGGGGATATATCAAGATTATTATTTATCATTGTTGAGTGAAAATATTGTTGTCGTCATTACGACGTCGCTATGATCCATATGCGTAAAGTCATTCAAAGTAGACAATACATTATCTCTAAGTGTCACCTATACAAAATCAAAATCGAGAGAGGTTTCTCGAACTTGTCTTTCCGATGTTTAAGTCAGTCATCAATTTCTCCATACCTAAATTCTTGATTTTAGTGCTCTTTATTTGAAGTTGAGAGTGTGTTTTTATTTTTTATCTTGAAGAGAGTATATTTCATAGAGTTTGCGAGGAGACAATTTGTAATCGACCTTAGTTGTTTCTTCCCGAGAATATTCTTATGAATATTTCAAAGATGAGACAATTTATAACCAATCCAAACTACCTCTTATATTTCTAGAAATATTCCTATGAATATTTCATAGGAAAGACAATTGATAACTAACACAAACTATTCATTGGAATCCTATCCTCTAGGTATCTTTCTCCCATGTGCCTTACATGATGCTTACGATGACGGATTGATTATATATTCCTTATCAATGATTATTGTTTTTTGATTGATAAAATATAAGTCATGTATATGCATTAACATAACTTATTTGGACACCTAATATAGTTAGTAAACTCAAAATCAATTTGTATATAATATTCTTCTATATTTACGATCTATTATCAACATACGCGATCTATTATCAATTACATATTAAAATATGTACTACGCATTCTGTTATAGGCATATTTATATGAGATTGGTCAGTCATATTGAGACCATAAATTTTTTGGACTTTGGGCCTATTCAACTCGCTTGTTTAATCATTTGTACTTATAGCTATATTAAATTGGTTGATCCGATTCAATTCCTCCTTTTTCATGTGTATTTATAACTATATTAAATTGGTTCTTTTTTGTCTTTCAAATGCATGCAATGGTTGGTATGGTTTAGTTCCAACTATTATTCTCATTTATTGTTGAGTTTATTTCAAGTTTTTGAGTTACAAAGATTAAAAAAAAAGAAAAATTATTTTCATATCTATCTAATGTCTATCAAGAAAATGCAATACAAAGATTGAAAGAGGATTAAAAAATAGTCCTCATCATAATCTTTATATACCTATCTAATGTCTATTTTTGCTATGAGCTCATCTAGCTTATTTTCTTATTATAAGATAATCTCTAATTTAGTTGTTGACAATCATCCGCTATTTTCTCTTTTTATCTTTTTAAGTCTATGTATAGTCGAGATGAATATATATGTGATTCTGATTATAGCTAAAAAAAATGATTATAAAGAAATTTAATCGACTACACCAATCGTATTTTGGTGAGACAAATTAAGCTAACATCGTCGTTCATATTGATTCTCATTATTATTAATCCTAATTTTTATATAGATTTATTTTAAGGAGATCTAATGGAAGATGAATCTTTTCTTTTGAGAAGACCTAAGGGAAGATGAATATTCCTATAGGTGTCTCTTTCCGGAGATACCAATCGGTATCGGCTACCGAGGCCATTTTGCTTCGTTGGAGTGTCCCTAAATCAAGCATTTCCTATCTAAGAGCATTATGAATGTTAAGTGTGGATCGTACGAATCTTAGCCATTTGTAGACTATGTTATTAGATAAATAACATAGAGTAGTAGACACAATCGTCCATCATCAAGCACATTCGTACACCAAAAAAATATTTAATTATACTTTCATGTGCAACAATATAGCCCAAAGAGAGACAACGGTGATTAGAAAATGATTTCTTCCTTTTATATTCCCAGTCATTGTTAGATGGGAAACCCTATAGGATCTTAATAGTCATCTCAAGATTCCTCTTTTTAGTGACTCTTCTAGACATTGTTCCGAAAGGATGAACATGATATGTTATGATCCACATTACAAGCTGATATATATATATATATATATATATATATATATATATTCACTTATTGTCAAATGAATGAGACAAAGAAAAAGAAGTCGAATCAATAAGGCCAAATTTATTAGGATTATATGTATTAAGAGAGGACTAATTATATATTACATATTCTACCTGGACCATATTAGTATTATGATTTTTGTACTTAAAAAATTTATATTGAGATCCTCATAAATCTGAAAATGAAACAAATAACTCTATTTACCATAATGTAGTCAGTTGTATTAACAAAAAATAATACACATGACACTATATAATCGATACAAAAATGATGAGTAAAAAAATAATTTTAATATTTTTTTCATTTCCGATGACTTTATTAAAAAAAAGATAATTTCAACATCCCATATGTTGAACATGTGGTGTCATGTGTTATGTTTTTCATTAATGCGGTTGATAATGGTAGGATAAATAATGTCTATTTATTTCACTTTTAAAACTATAGGAATCTAAATATAAATTTTTTAAATATATGGACCACAATGTTAATAGAATATAAGTATAAGGAGTAATATGTAATTAACCTATTAAAATATTATATTATATTGATTAATTTACTGTTGCATTCCCATTTCCTATTGCTGTAATCAAATTAGACCGTATGATGAATAACCATAGTAATGGTGATCAGTTAATTTGATATAAACAACTCGATGAGGTCTAACAAAGGAAGCCCGACCAAAAGCATAAAATCACCTGCATCATCATCAGATATATAGGATTCGAATGAAATAAAAATGTAGTGTTGGGGATATCTATATACTGAAACAAATCTCTTGATCATGTTTGGGAATCGTGTTATTACAGTCTTGGCAAATCGATCAAGCTACCAGCTCCCATCATGCATGCATGAAGAAAACAACTCATATAGTACACGGAATGCTACAAAATTGATTGGAATATTGTAGACTTCAATAGTAGTAGTCAATGGAGAAGGCAGATAGATAATGGAGGACACTACACTCTAAAATATTACTTATCCTCACCACTTTCTCGTAGTTTTTCATCACTAACATATAATTGACATCCTTTGGAAATCAAATATTTGTTGTTAATAATAACTATTTATTTATGAAAATTTTATTATAAAAAAAATATTTATTGTTATGACAGATCGTCACAAAATATATAGAATAGAGCATGACACAAAAATGATGAGCAGTTTGGTCAAAATGACTCTCGTGATGATCAATGAATAATTCTATAAAAACTAAATCAACAACTTTACATAGAAATTGTGGGTCTATTATTAGTAAGATTCAAATCGAAAGTGATACCAAATTACCTCCACTAGAATTCAGGGATCCGTTTCCTGATCTCTTAATTTAAGGCGACGACTTCGGTGTTGGAGCTAAGTTTGGTCTGTCAAAACAAGTCAATCTGTACCTGTTTTTACTACTTGTAGAACAAAACAAAAAAAGAAATGTACAATTTTGCTATGATTGTTGAATGCTTACCTAATGGATC